TCCCGGAGCACCAAGCATATTAACACGAGTAACAGTTAGATCAACACTCCCTTCCTCCATCCACTTCCCTACAGCATCTATATAATATAATGAAATATATAATTAATAAACATAGCAGGAACTGTGTTGTGTATACACAAAGAGGTCTATTACATTATTAGATTAGTGTGTGTTACATTAGTGAGTGTATTACCTAACCATTACTGATTGTGTGTATGTACTTATGATTGCTGTACTACAATGGATTCTGTTATGATTGTGAAAAAGTTTTATCAAAACAATAGATGGTTAGGAATCTCATTAGCTGCTAATACATGAAACAGAATTATTTATTGGCCGGCAAGAATGAGCGTATCTCACATAAGTGAAACATGTGTTAGGTAAATGTACATGACATGTATGTGTTAATACCTTGTATTCTTCTCTTCTGATATTCATTAATGTCCAGTACTGACTGTACTACAAAATCACCAGTACTAGATACTAATAATAATAATAATAATAATAACTAGATGAATGTAAAACATTGATGGGGCGAGCCTAAGCAATTAAAGCAATGTACATACAATAGATATTGACAGACTAACAATACTCATGACAGTGCAACTTAAGCAGCTCAGAACTTGATTGAGTGCAGTGTAGTTCTTGACCTACCTTTGTAATCAAATCAAGTTTAGCATTTGGAAAGCATTAAAGATAGCTAGAAACAGTCACTGCACAAATGATATGGCTAGATAGGCAACTGTAGCAATGTAGTCCAAGTTAGTTCAGGCTGTGACACACATTCAAAGTCATTCACATCAACAAAGATGCTTTCTTGACATTCCTTGCTGTTGCTTTGGATACCATTATGCGAGTACAGTAAGTCGAATTATCAGCAAAAACAAGTTTCATAGTTACTTTATTGCATCTATAACCTTGCCTGGCTGTTGGAGAAGCCTTTGGACAGAATTTCTGTCTTATTTTGCTGCTAGAAAACTCATGACTTTTCCCCGCGTGTTGGTCGCCATTTTATTTCATTGTGGCCACTCCCACTTTTAATGAAATATTGACAACTGAATTTACATGTATATACCCTTTTCAATGCATAGCATCTACCGTATTACGCATAAATAGGGGTGACGTACGTGTACAGACAGACAGACATACTCGTCTCGTTTATGTGGGGCGAGCTCAGGCTCGCCCCAATAATAATAATAATTCAAATCTTGATAGAATTCACACTTTTAATGCTATACAGTAAATTAAATTTAGTAGGCGTGTACAATCGTACATAAAGCCACACCCCTCACTCATTCTTTATTGTAATATTATTATTATTACATATTCAATACACATTGTATCTACTAATGTATACATGTACTCACTGATTTCAATAAATCTTGTATCACTGATTAATGAACCATCTCTCATTCCTCCAAACTCAATTATCCAGTGAGTGGTCTGTGTCTCATTCCAAACTGAGAGAGAAGGATACATTCTATCAGTGACACTGTCTGGTATATTAGTCTATATAATTAAAAATAATGATAAAATAATATATCTGGTTAATAAAAATGATTTCTCTCCTCCTCCTTTCTCCTCCATTGTCAATCACACTCACAAAAATGACAAAAAGGCAAGCTTCATGAGCTCTTTCTTAAAAACTACTCATAGCATAATCTTTCATTTCTTTATCATATGCACATGTCTATACTGACCAGGTGTACTGTATTAAATTGATTATCATTGAGGAGTGACGTACATGTACATGTAAAGACAGACAGATCACAGTGGTCTCGTACTAGTAGGACTCACTCATGCTCACCACAATTATATTATAATACTTACAAGTTCTTTCCATTCCATTTTGTTTATATTTAACAACCAACAGTCACTGGTAGGGAATCCACCCACCACTAGTAGGTGTGGTCCTGAGCTACAGTTGATCAATACACTGGAATGACTACTTCTCTCCTTAGGCCATTGTACTGATCCTCCAGGATTAGAAAACTTTGTACATTTCTAAAATATTCAAAAATATTTAATTATCATAAAACACACACAATACATTAACTAAAATACTTTAGGATAAATACCGTAGGACTATATACATGTATTCGCATGCAGTAATAATTAAAAACCATGCAAACCAAAATGCTATTCTAATTGAAAACGGTGCAATATTAAAACAGTTATTTTTAAGAAATCAAAAATTAAGACTGTTTCACAAAAACATGAAATTCTGTACCCTCAAAATTTACAACCTGTATGGTATCCATTTAAGAGCATACATGTAACTCTACCCCACTACTAAGGCCCTCCCTCATTGTTTACACAAGTACATGTAGCTATTATTAGTCACTGGTTAAATTAGGGTTTTTAAGTATACCTGCAAGTCACAATTAATACACACCCTAAGCCTAAGGTAATTAATATAATTATACTAATAATACACTCACCACTGATGTATCGGTAAATTCAAATACATATACATCATTACTCCATTCATCAACATCATAACCACCAAACAATATAGCAGTGGTAGTAGTTATTGATGTTAAAGTGAAACTATTAATAGGAGGTGGTCTGTCTCCAGTGACTGTCGGCGAAGTCCATTTACCTAAAAATAATAAAAATAATGTGAACACACACACACACTGCCCTCAAGTGGTTCCTGGGCTCAAATAGACACCCTCCATTGGCAAAGATATATCTACTGCCCTCCATTAAATGACACATTATGATAAAATGGTGGAACACTACTAGTCACGTACACTATGGCTACCTTTGCTCAAGTTAATCAAGTCTACCTTATATTGTATAGACTGTGTGGCAGCTCTTTATGGCAGATACCAGACCCTTGACATTGGTTTCAGCTGTGGGTCTGCTATCTGCCATAAACAATCTAAATACATCAATTTAATTACTGTATATAAACTACATTTATAAACCTAATATCATATTATACTGACCAGTTTTTAATCTGTACAGATGTATTTCATTGCAACGTCTATCACTGTACTGGGCACCAGGTTGTGGTGGGTTATTATTAGAAGATGATCCACCTCCTCCAATCACTACAAGATAGTCCTCATCTTTCACTTTTATTGCTATCATGCTGGAGCCAGTCTTCATCATAGGACCATAATGAGATGAAGTAGGAGAGAGTTCCTTCCAATTGAAGGTATCAACATTAAAACTGTATAAAATACTATATAATATTTATCAGTAACTATTATGCTTACCTGTATAAACTATTATGATAACATTGATCATGACCACAATAGCCTCCAAAAAAGAATATTTCATTTCTAATGACAGCAGCAGCATATCCCCAGACACCAAGTGGAGGGTCACCAGTGGTAGGCTTTTGTACCCACTCACCAGTTGGTACATGACAGACCTCCACTACAGAACACATTGATTTCTTCTTCTCATTATTGTGTACTAGTTCAGGGAGATCATCATGGAGCCCACCCCACATGTACAGGTAGTCTCCTACCTGTACTGTAGAGTGACTGCTCCTCTCCACTGGTTGATAGACTATAGATAACAAGAGGACACAGTAATATAGTGAATAGTTATAATAGGCATAGGATACAGAGGAGTAAAGTAAGGGAGAGAATAAGAAAGAAAGAAAAGAGAATAAAGTTACTCACCTTCCATCTTCACTACACTAACGCAACACCATGGCAACGGGAAAAAATGCAATGAGCCACGCCCTAAATTTACTGAAGATAACTCACTTTCCAGCATTCATTCATGATGAGTTGATGACTGATGTTTGCCTAATAAATTATAGCTAGCAGCCATTGTTAAAATGAAAGCAGTGATATTATCAACAAAAATGAGGAAGAATTCCAGCTCTAGGACATAGCATTAACTATTAACTATCAATATTATTATTATAACACACTCGTGGGATAAAACACACAAACCCGGCACCGGGCTGACCACCGTAAAAAGTGGTGAACACATAATCAAATAGTCATATATAACACACAATAAAATAATCATCTGTCAAATTGTGAGTACATAGCTATGTCATCATCTGAAATTGGACGAGGACCATATCTAGCTACTTTACAATAGTCATCGTATCTTCTTATTCTCTTCTGATACTGTGGGTGGGGTTATTTTAAAACTGTTGTCCATACTGTAGGCAGAGGTTGGTTTCCAGAGGAGCTTCTCTTCTTGGGTCTTTTTTGCTGTGAGTGTTAGGTCCTTATCAGTTTGTGGTTCAAGAGGAACGCAGGATACTGGTACAACCTGTCAAACCTGTTTTAGAGAAACAACAGGTTTTAAATTTTTTCAGTGAAAGTCTGAGTTTAGACAGTACTCATGACAAAAAATTTTATAGATAAAAAAGGACTCGTAATTCAAAAATTGTAATCAGAATCAGCTTAAACTTTCTACATAGCATAAGGACACTATACAATAGTTAGTAATACATGTTCTCTGGATAAATTTTGAGTGTTTTCAAAGTCAAACTGTTTCATTATTTCCCAATTCCCTCAGTAGTATAATTGCTATTACCTTTCATAAGTCTTCATGTCCTCTTTTGAAGGATCCCTACACTCAAACCCATAGTAATCAATAGAACTGAGGAGTCCATTGGGAGTACAATAAGAAGTGAAGGAGTGAGTGTTAGTAGTGACATTAGAGTCTTGTTGTTTGGGTGAGTACTGATCACCAGTCCTCTCATCCTCAGGCTCACTGTCTGATAAATACTCATCAGCTTCTGCTGGCTCAGTCTGTGGTATACCAACAGCTGAATCCTCTTTTAGCAGCCATCTTGGAACTACTGGAGCTATAGGGAGAGGGTGAGGGAGAGAGAGTGGGAGGGAGAGAGGGAGAGGGAGAGAAGGTGAGGGAGGGAGGGAGGGGGAGAGAGGGAGAAAGGACTGTATTATTGTACAGTGAAGGGACTAAAATTTGGACCATTTTTGTAATTCATTACACGTTACTGATATCAAAATCACTAATAGTAAGGTACATGTACATCAGGTGTCACAGACTTTGGGTTTAGGTTGTAGTAGAGAATCTTAATAATACTGTTTCATGAACATGTAAGATTGTGATTAACCTGATGTGTGTGTGTGTGTGAGTGGGTAGTTACTATATAATTACTTATGTACATATCTTACTTCCTAATAAGGACTACCATTACTACACATTAATGAACCATTAATTAAAAACTACTCAATCATAAATCAATAGATCACACACACACACACACAGGTGGTGCATACATTATTGTCAGAAAAAGCTCCAACTTTCTAGAGATAATGTAATAAAAACTGGGGGTGATTCCACGCAGAGCTATTCTTTGGACAAAACCATGGGCTATATAGTACAGAATAATGTTTTTAAAATTTTAGCCTATTCTTAAAATGGTCGTAACTTGAAAAATTGAAGTTGGAATACAAATTTATTAGTCAAAAATTTTTGTCATCACCCACTTCTAACAGTTTAAAATCCAATGACCATTCATGCAATACTTGACTATAATACAATGAATAAGTGAATATGTACAATGTACATGTACAGTGTATACTATTATGATAATTCATAGTCTCCATGCATTTCTTTTGTGAGTGGGTAGTTACTACACTACTGCTTATCACAACCAACACCAGCCACTATCACTATTATACTCACACACACCTACTCACACACACTGGACAATGTTCATAACACAGAAATTATGAGTGATCTATCAGAATCAGCTCAAGCTTTCTGCACAGCATAAGGACTTCAATATGTATCAGAAAATGTAATAAAAATTTGGGGTGATTTCAGAGCCAGTTTTAAGAAAAAAACAATGGTCTATAGTCTTGGGTAATACATGTACATGTACATTAATACCTTGTGCAGTGTATCTGTTGGTCCCATCATTAACCAGTACATTATAAAACGGTTCATTTGGTTCCAGTGGTAGCTGATCCACTCCATTTGATGTATCCAATCTTCAGTCATCTCACAGGTATAATCCCATCCATAGATCACAATAATAATCATACCTACAATGTACATGTACATGTATGACATTTATTAGTGCAGTAATATCATATAACACTTTATTTTGGTGATTTGCTCTAAAAATGTAATTGGAGGTTTTTTAATTTGGTGGTTTTTGAGTATGCATGCATCACTGATCATGTACATTAATGATTGGTGAGTTTAATATTGGGGATTGAACTTGCAAATCATCAATTGCCAAAATAAAACTCCACCAAATTAAAGCTCCCACTGGTAGTATTAATAATAGATTCACTGACCTAATGTGGTTCATTATTCATCCTGTGTCATATTGAATTGTACTGGATCAACTGATTCAATCTATAGTAATATTATAATTATAATAATTTGACAATGTACATGTAATAATTTTAATAAATATTTGTACATGTACAATTGTACACGAACTTTAATTCACACCACTTTCCCTTGGCCCCTAGCCCCACCCCTCTCACCCTGGTTGCATGGTTGGTTCTTGAAGTGCTTTCCTCTTCCTGTCCAACAGATAATGTCCTCTTTGTAGTTTAGTTAACACGTGGGCCATGCTACACTCAAGGACCATATCTGATAATACCCAAATAACCTAACAACAACAATAAACAACAACAAATGACATGTTATTATGTACATGTACATGTACCATACATGTTGCATTACAAGTACTCCTATCATCTAATGCTTGCTACCTAAATTACCATAACTTGTACAGTAGCTTTTAAAATGGATTGTTTCTTTCAGTATTCCTTAAAAATAATAGTTCAATTACCTTCGGCCAACCTAGAGTATTACATGTATATCTACATGTAAATGTACATGAACATGTGTATCATTAAGACGTTAAAGTCATGTTTATACATGTGTAGTGTGATTGTATGACTGAATTAGGAGGATCACGAATATTCTCAACCAAATAATAAAAGAAGAAGAGAGAGAGTTAGAAAGGAAAGAGGAAATGAAGGAAGAATGGGAATGTTTTAGAAAGAGTGAGAAAAGAGAAGTTACAGCAAATGATAACAAACAAAATAGCAACATACACTCACACTACTAAAATAGTTTGATAAAATGTTTACAGTGAACGATAGAGATGAACGAGATGAACGAATCAGTGATGAACAAACGATGAACGAACGAGACGAACGAACGGTCTTCTTCTTGTGTTCTGTGTGTATGTGTGTGTATCTGTGTACATAAAGCTGACCACGTGTAACTATGTGGTTACAAGTCATGAATATTGAATGCGTTAATTAATCCCGGATATATTGAATGCATGAATATATTGACCACCACACATGTATACTACTAGTACACGTACTTGTTAGAGGTTAAGCCTCAGGTGGGTCCAATGTTAGCTGAACTGATGAGACTTGACAAGTTAAGGGACTCACTGGAGGCACCAACATAAGGAGAGGGAGAGAGAAGAGGAGGACAAGAGGACCGACCCTGTAATTAAGAGGAATAATTAGTAAACTATAATATGTATCAGGAAATGTAATAAAAATAAAGAATTCTCTCCTTTTCATTTTTGGCGAAATTTGGTCAATGACCCTGTACAAGAGTACAGGGACTTTGACCTGATTTTTGAGCAACTTAAAAATTTGTAAAAAATTCAATTTTTAATCAGAATCAGCTCAAACTTTCTACACAACGTAAGTACACGTATATACATGCTTATCTTACCACTGGTTCTTTTTATCATTCTATTGTCTGCCAACATCAAAATTAATAGAAATTCTCAAATAAATATTAGCAACCATCTTTATGATAGCCTGTGAGAAAAATGAGAAAATTCTTAATAATAATAATAATAATAATAATGACAATAATATAAAATTACATGTAACACATGCTACATAATACTTACATGTATATATTATACATGTATCTTACCTTTTAGGATCCACTGGAGGGTTGATCATACATGTATGAGGTGATCATGTGGTATAGTCAGGAGTAGTATGAGTCACAGACACTGCACTTGTCCTGAAGCTGATTTAATAATTGACCTCTGCTGTAAGCAACAATGAATACCTCACCATCACCTCTACTAATATTTTATACTGAAGCTATTATTACTAAAAGGATTGATGCTCCTGCTACATTTACTAATCCACCTACTGCTGTTAAACCTCAAGTTATTGGACTAGTCAATGCTAGAGCAATTTTATTAATTTTGATGATATTTATTATTATTCTTTTAGAATGCGTATGGCAAATTTACTAGAAAAGATGAGGTATGACATTACACTATATTAAAGCATTATTATTTACATGCTGCACTTGAAGGTAGAAGCATTAGTGTGTTAAGAAGAGGATGCATATGGGAAGAGAGAAGAGTAAGCTTTGTTAAAAAGACAACATTGATATCAGACAGTTTAAAGGAACAACAAAAAGGAATAACATTATTACTGATTTTGCTCATTCTCCCCTCCCATTTTTATAATAAATAGTTTTGCATTGGTTGATTACTGACCCAATTCTTGAAGCAAATTCCTAACAATTTAATTTGATTAAAATCAGCAATAATTATCATCATTTGAGAGCAATTTTACAAATTCACAAAAATTCTATTCTGATTGGAATTAGCTCAAATTTTTTACGCAGCATAAAAATGTAAATGTCTAATAATAAAGCAGCATGAATTAGAGTATACAGCATACAGTAAAGTAAGA